CTTATCCATTGTTTTGCCGATCGGCGCGGGCCCTCGCACCTCCTCCACATGGAGTAGTTCTTGGCTGTGTTTGGCGACTGCTTCAAGAAGGTGGAGTCCCCCCTGTAGGACGCACTGGTGCAAACAGTCGCATTAAGCAGAGGCCCGGAGCCAGACCCCCCCCCCACACACTTCCGCTCAATGTCGAAACTCCGAATGAGAAAACGTTCACGTGGGCCAGGGGCCGGGAGATAGTCGAATGTCTCACGAGCGTTTTCGCCCCCAGCAAGCGCAGGTCGGCGCATGTTCCATGTTTTTCGCTCCTGGCCATCGCTGCCGCGTAAAACACGGCATGTTGCATTCGTGCCCCATCGGTTTCCACAAGAAGTTGACACTCGCGACGACTCTGGCATCACACGCGTGCGCAGCGAAATCGGAACCCTCCTGTTCCTCTCCCTTTTCTCCCCCTCCTCAAGGCCGACCTCTCGGACCCGTCGGTGAGCGCCCCCAAGTCATGATTCCTTTGGAATTCAGCCTTGACGACGAGAGTTCCCCACGAGACAGAATTACTGCTCAAAGCGCCAATACAATTATTTTCTCCCCGCTGCTCCCCCCCACACACACCTCCTCCACCGTGATAGCCGAAATCTTTGGAATCCCCTCCCCCTCTCCTTCACACTCGCTCCAGATGCTCTGGAGAAGGAGCAGGGGGCATTGGGAAGGAGGAGGAAGAGGAGGAGGAGGGGGATGAGGAGGAGGGAGGATGACGGAGGGGGAGGGAGGATGACGGAGGGGGAGGGAGGAGGACGGAGGAAAACGGAAAGGAGGAGGACGGAGGGAGGGATGAGCAGAAGGGAGGGATGAGCAGAAGGGAGGGAGGAGGGAGGGGAAGGAGGGAGCCATCATTTGAGTCGTCTTCGCTGAGTGTGCCTTGGAAACGCCCAGGACGTTTTTGTTACAGCTTCCAACTCTTACGTCTAGTGAGACAACTGCGGGGACCTGGAAACGAGGAACAACGAAAGAAAGACACAATGCAAAACCGTGTCCGCACGATCATTCGGAAAATAATGTAAATCGAATCGGCGCAAGCCGGAAACGGTAAGGAAACGCCCCCCCTGGAATCTATAACAAAAACGGCTAGGTGAATATTGCCGATGATAATGAATACAGGGCGGCGCAGCGGGCATCAGCAGCGGCAGGCAGTACCAGCAGGCAGTGGCAGCGGGCAGCCGCAGCAGGCAGTAGCAGAACCAGGCAGCACAGGAGGAAGTTGGCGGCTGCAGCGGGCAGGAGGCGCACCAGAGAATTTGTTTGGAGAGAGAGTCGAGCTCTTATCGTGCGCTACCTGTCAGTCACTGTCCGACCCACCGGAATGGGGGGTTGAAAAACGCGTTGAACACGTATTGGAGGCGTATTGGAAACGGTCTCAGCCCGGCAATTGCGACCCGTCGCCCAGGGGAAGCGGATGTCGCCGCCGGCGCTGAGGCCGCCGTTACGACGACGACGCCGCCGGTATGACACCAACGATGTCTCCAGCTCTGACTCACACGGGGTCGGACAGCGAGTGACAGGCAACGCACGATAAGAGCTCGACATTATATCTACAAATATTCTCTGGTGCGCCTGCTGCTCGCTGCAGCCGCCAACGCTCTGCTTGATCGTGTCTGCCGTTCCCTGCTGCGCGTTGCTACTTGCAGCTTGTTGCTGCTGCTGCATGCCTGTGCCTCATTGCCGCCTGGTAAGTGTCAATGCGCTCCCAGACCAGACAAAACCGCGTGCAAAAGAGCATGTTGCGAAGCAGACCTGGGAACGATGAACAACGAAGTTGGGGAGAAGACGTTCCCTCGGATTAGCGTCGGAGACGATCACTCGGAAACGACTTCTAAACGGCAGCTGGAAACGATGGACAAACCAGCTTTTGAATGAGAGTTGCAAACTATATCATTTTGATGCCGGAAAGACGCCCTGGGCGTATGAACGGCCGCCCCGCGCGGTGAGATCCACCTTGTGGCGTGCGTCGCCGCCCTGCAGGGAGGGCAGGACGAGGAGGGAGGAGCAGGATGGAGGAGGGAGGAGGACCGAGGACGACGGAGTCTCCCTTTGAGTCCCCTCTGTTACTGCCCCTCGGGGCGAGGTTCACCCTAGTCTCCCTCGTAAACCCCCCTTCAGGGCGGGGTCTCTTACTTGCGCCTCAGCCCCGCTGGGGGGAGCAGGGGGGGGGCGAGGAAGGAGGAACAGGAGAGAGGTGCGAGCGGGCAGGGAGGGGCAAGGCTAGACGGGCATCGCGGAGGGAGGACTCACTGGGGAGGGTGACCGAGGGGGCAGGGAGGCGCAGGCCAGGCGGGAGGAGGGAGGATTTCTAGGAGGGGAAGGGAGGGAGTGAGGGAAGAGAGGGCGGGGGGGAGGAGGGAGGGGGGGGAGGAACAGACAGGAGGAGGAGGGATGGGGGTGGAGCAGAGGGGAAGTGGGGGGGGGGAACGGAAGGGCGGCAGCGGGGAGGAGAGGGGGAGGAGGGAGCCGGGGGCGGGAGGGAGGAGATACCGGGAGCGGGCAGGGAGGAGTAGGAGGGAGGGGCAAAGGGAAGGGTGGGCGGGAGGCAAGCTGGGTGCGCTCGCGCCTCATCTTACATCCCACCCCTCCCTTCCCATCCCCTCCAGGTGCGTTGATTTGCCGCTATTCGCGAACGGGACCTCAAGCAGACCACGTCGTGCCATAGCCGACCTTGGACCTCAAGAAAACCACGTCGTGCTGTGCGCATCTCGGGCAAGGGAAGCTGTGCAGATCGGGGAGAAGGAAGGGGTGCCGGGCGAGCGAGAGGTGGGCATGAGAGCGAGGAGGAAGAGGAGAATGGTGAAGGTTTAGAGCGAGGATGGGCAGCATCAGCCGCAGAGGAACTGGAGTGTAGTGTAGGAGAGTTTGGGCGTGTTTCGGAAGATCCGGTCGTGTTTGGGAGGGTTCGCGCGGATGTATGAGGCGTCGGAGGATTTAGTAGGGTTTGGGCGGGTTGTTGGTGGGTTTTTGGATGGTTCGGGAGGGTTTCAGGAGTGGAAAGGGTGGAAGCAAGGCAGAGGAGGGAACTGAGGGGGGGGACCACGATGAAAAAGGACTGGGATCCAGAGCAAGAGACCCGCAGTGGGGCGAGAAAGCCACCCTCAACGATTGGAGCAAAGCGCCGATCCGAAAGTGAGGCTCACGCTGAAGCGGGAGCACCATGCTGAAACACCGCAACCATCGGAATGAAGTGCTTACCCGAGACGTACTCAATCCCTTATCCACGCGAGGCGACTATTTGTGTGAACGCGCCATACAAACGAACACATCGCCTGACGTGCACGATCTTCATGGCCTCATCTCTGCCGTGCCCCCCAGGAACCCGCTAAAGTGGCGACAGTTGCGCAGTTCGTAGCGTCCCAGGGAACCGCGAGGTCTCGGGTAGATCCGCGTGGTCCCGACTCCGCTGGACCTCCCAGGAACCCACGAAAGTGGCGACTTTTGGGCAGTCCGTAGCCACTCAGGCCGCGGGGTCTCGGGTAGATCCGCGTGGCCCCCGACTCCGTTGGACCCCCCAGGATTCCACGGCACTCTCCTATGGAGTTGCGAGGTTCCGGTGCTCCGCTACCCCGCCGTGCTTTCCAGGAGCCCACGAATGTGGCGACATTTGCACAGTTCGCAGCCGCCCATGGAGCTGCGACGTCGCTGGTGCTCCGCTGAGCCGCCGTGGCTCCCAAGAGCCCACGAAAGTGCTGACAGTTGCGAAGTCCGCAGCCCCCTCGGGGAGCTGTGAAGCCTCGGGTACTACGCAACACCTCCTGTGTTGCTCTCATTCGAAACATCGGTTGCACAAGTTATGTTTCTGCGGGTCCGATGGGCCACCGCCGATGCAAGTCATTGTCTGAACAGGAAGGGTGTCTGGTATGAAAGAACAGGAGGGACTAGACATGCCACCGCCTTATGCGTATCCGACGGGCCTCCCAGCAGTTAACCAAAGTGGCGACAGGTGCGCAATTCGCAGCCATCCAAGGAGCAACGAGGTCCTGTCTGGTTGCGCGTGGCCCCCGACTCCGCTGGACCTCCCAGGAGCCCAATGAGGAGGCGACGGTTACGCAGTTCGCAGCCACACAGGGAGCAACGAGGTCTCGTTTGGGTGTGCGTGGTTCCCGACTCCACTGGACTTCCCAGGAGCCCACGAGAGTGGTGACAGCTGCGTAGTTCGCAGCCACCCAGGAAGCTGCGAGGTCTCTGCTGGGTCCGCGCGTACTCCCCTACTCCGCCGGAGCCCACGAGCGTGGCGACAGTCGCGCAGTTCGCAACCTCCAGGAAGCTGCGATGTCACTGCTGGGTCCGCGTGCTCCTCTAGTCCGCCGTGCCTCCCAGAAACCCGCGACACTGACGACAGTCGCTCACGTCGCAGCCACCAAGGGAGCAGCGAGGTCTCGGTTGGGTCCGCGCACTCCCCGACTCGGTTGGACGCCCCAGGAGCCCACGGTAGTGGCGAACGTCGCGCAGTTCGCAGCCATCCAGGGGGCTGCGCATGAGGAGACAGGAGGAGGCGGGGAGGAGAAGGAGGGGGAGGAGGAAAGGGGGGGTGGAGACCACAGTGTTCTATTCGAGACGAGAACCCAACGCACGGGAGGGCTGCGGAACACAGACGGTTTACAGACGTGTGAAACCTTGCATGTAAGGCAAACGATACGCGGAGAGGACCAGAGATCTCCCGCACAGAGTCAAGGGAGATAAGGAGAGCAGTATTCATATTGTGTAGCTGTAGAGGGGAGACCGAGGAGGGGAGGGCGGCGGCGGGCGGGGCCTCCGCCGGTCGCTGGCATTGGGCTGCTCGAGGGGTTCCTCGTCTTTCTCGCTCCTGGGCCCCCGTCCTCGCTCTCTCGCTCCTCGTGCTCCTGCCTCCCCCGCCTCCTCCTCCTCCTCCTCGATCCCTTCTCCTCCTCGATGCCTCCTCCTCCTCGATCCCTCCTCGATGCCTCCGCCTCGATCCCTCCTCGACCCCCCACCCCCTGGCCCAGGTGCAGGAGCTCGTAAACCAGATGGAGGGCGCAGGGGCCCTGCGGCCCTGGCACGGGCGGGTCGGCGCCATCGGCGCCGACGGGGAGTTCCGCGCCCGCGACGGTGCGGAGCCCCCGCTGTGGATCGGCAGCGCCCAGCAGGGTGCTCTTTCCTCCGCTCTCTCGCTTGAGGGGTTCCTCCGCTGTGGACTCCAGAGAGGGTCGTTCGCCCACCTCCCTCCCTCCACTCAGAACGCGGACAATCGTCCCAAGTCAGCGTCTTACCTACCCCCCCCTTCCGAGTGCGGTGCACCGCGCTTCGAAGCGCACTCGAGAAGCTGGATCAAGCTCGGTGAATGTCCTCCGCTTTGGACTCCAGAGGGACGTTCGCCCCCCCCATCACTCCGAGTGCCCGAGTGCGGTGCACCGCTCTTCGAAGCGCACTCGAGGAGCTGGAGCAAGCTCGGTGAGTGTCCTCCGCTGTGGACTCCAGAGAGGGACGTTCGTCCCCCCCCCCCACCCCCGGGTGTGGTGCACCGCTCTTCGAAGCGCACTCGCGGAGCTGGAGCAAGCTCGGTGAGTGTCTTGCCTGCTGGCAGTTCGACTCTCGTGGCCCTCGTGAGCGTGCCGTGCCCCCCTCGGAGATAGGCAAGCGGCAGGAAGACAGGAGGAGTGCCGCGCGGGGTTCTCGGATCCGCGCCGAGCCCCCTTTTGTCCGCGGCGCCTCCCGAGCGCCGTCCGTGGGGCGCGCTCCGCGAGCCGGGGGCGGGGGATCAGCGCCCATGCGAGAAGTATGGGCGCGGACTTCCGCAAGGTTATGTTCATTCAGTGTGTTTGCTGCGCTATCGTCGTCGTCCGTGTGCTCCACATGTCTCCTCACGGGTATTTTCAAGGGCGCCCTCGAGGGCGCGAAGTTATTCGCGCTTCGCGGTTCGGCTCCGATTTCTCGCCATCCTCATCTTCTCCCCAGGGGGGGGCGGCGCGAGAGCGCGAAGTTGTTCGCGCTTCGCGCGGCGCGAAGCGCGAAGTTAGGCGCCCTTGTATTTTCTCCCTGTCACACCCCAGGGCGCGTCCGTAGGGTGGACTGCGCGTCGTGCTCGGAGTAATCTTCACCAGTGATGAGCACGAAGCGTGAGCTCCGCAAGCACAATTACAAGGGAGCTCATGCGGCTTTCATAATGTGGCTTTCGCCTCGGAGCCGCACGCATTCGTCTTAAAGTGTTGCCCCGGTTACAAGGATGGAACACAGGTCGTTTTCGAATTGTGGTTTCCGCTTCAGCGCCGCGCACGCTAGTCTTAAACATTCGCACAAGCGCTTCAACCATCCAGCACATGTTTTTTTCCCAACCCTTCTGCGTTGGGTACTCGTTTTGAATAGAGCACTGCGGTCTCCACCTTCCTTCCTTCCCGCCTCCTCCTCTCTTCCCTCTTCCTCTCCTCTCTTGCTTCCCTTCTCCGCCTCTCTTCGATCCTCCTTTTCTCTCTTGCATCCCTTCTCCTCTCTTCGCTTCTCCTCTCTTGCTTCCCTTCTCCTCCTCTCTTCGCTCCTCCTCTTCTCTCTTGCCTTTTACGTCATCCCTTTGGGGCTGTGATCTGTGAAATTGTCGCCACTTTCGAGGGCTGCTGGTGGGTCCAGCGGAGTGAGGCACCACGCAGATTCAGATTAGACCTCGCCATCCCTGGGGTGCTGCGATCTGCGAAACTGTCACCACTTTCGAGGGCTGCTGGTGGGTCCAGCGGAGTGAGGCACCACGCAGATTCAGATTAGACCTCGCCATCCCTGGGGTGCTGCGATCTGCGAAACTGTCGTCACTTTCGAAGGCTGCTGGTGGGTCCAGCGGAGTGAGGCACCACGCAGATTCAGATTAGACCTCGACTTTCGAGGGCTGCTGGTGGGTCCAGCGGAGTGAGGCACCACGCAGATTCAGATTAGACCTCGCCATCCCTGGGGGTTTGCGATCTGCGAAATTGTCGTCACGTTCGAGGGCTGCTGGTGGGTCCAGCGGAGTGAGGCACCACGCAGATTCAGATTAGACCTCGCCGTCCCTGGGGGGCTGCGATCTGCGAAACTGTCGTCACTTTCGAGGGCTGCTGGTGGGTCCAGCGGAGTGAGGCACCACGCAGATTCCGATTAGACCTCGCCATCCTTGGGGGGCTGCGATCTGCAACACTGACGCCACATTCGAGGGCTGCTGGTGGGTCCAGCGGAGTGAGGCACCACGCAGATTCAGATTAGACCTCGCCATCCTTGGGGGCTGCGATCTGCGAAACTGTCGCCACATTCGAGGGCTGAGGGTGGGTCCAGCGGAGTGAGGCACCACGCAGATTCAGATTAGACCTCGCTATCCCTGGGGGGCTGCGATCTGCGACACTGACGCCACATTCGAGGGCTGCTGGTTGCGAAGCTGTCGCCACATTCGAGGGTTGCTGGTGGGTCCAGCGGGGTGAGGCACCACGCAGATTCAGATTAGACCTCGCCATCCCTGGGGGGCTGCGATCTGCGAAATTGTCGCCACATTCGAGGGCTGCTGGTGGGTCCAGCGGAGTGAGGCACCACGCAGATTCAGATTAGACCTCGCCATCCCTTGGGGTCTGCGATCTGCGAAACGGTCACGGCACGGGCGACACGGGCGACACGGGCGGCATTCACGGGATGCTGCCGCTGCACGTGGTCATGCGCATACGCCTGCTGGAGCACCTGGACCTCGACAAGGGGCTCGTCAAGGACGCCGACGGCGAGGTCGTGCACGTGGCCATCAACCCGAAGGATGAGGGCGTGGTGGAGAGAGCGAAGGCCGAGGGAGGTCGGGCGTACCTGCGGTACCTGCCGTACGGCGTGTGGGTGCGCATGGACAAGTACAAGGGTGGCCCCTGCGGAAAGAAGCTCAAGGAGCTCGGTGACAGCATCGACGTTGCGAACGCAGCGGGCCTCGTCTTCATCGAGCCACAGAGCTCGAGCCCGTTCGACTTCCGCAAGTGCAAGGTCACGCGCACTGGCTTCGTCATCTCCCACGCCGATGTCCTGACGTCCACTGCCTGCCAGGGCCGCACCATGCACCGCGGAGTCATTGTTGACGCAGGGTGCAAGGATGCGAACGACCTGGACGCTCTGTGGCTGCACCTCTACGTGATGCTGTCCAGGGCGACGACGATAGACAACCTACTGACGGTGCGCGACCCCAGCCTTGACTTTCTTGCCAGCGGCCCACCGACAGACCTTGCGGAGAAACTGCGGAAGTTCAGTTCCCGCGCTGTAACATGCAGGAAGGAGGCAGAGAAGCTGGCGCGCGAGCTAGGTCTCGATCGCTTCTCGCACTAGATATTAACAGGTATGATCCTGTGGAGAGGCAGCAGGCATGCGTTGACCGAGCTCCTGCAAAAACGAAACAGTCTCTTGCTTCCTCCCTCCTCTTTCATCATCGCCGCCCTAGCCCTCCTGTTACCTTTTGCGTTCATGGTGCTGCTGCTGCGATGGCTCCTCGCCCCTTCCTACTGGGTTCGTCCTTCTCCTGTCCCTCGTTCCCGCCCCCGCTATTGTTTAACAAGCCTTGAGACATACTCCTCGTCTTATCGACTGCTATTCTGTGAGTCGTGCAACATTACGCATCCCATGTAGGTTGCACTACAAATCGCCGCGCCTGCACTGTCACGGTTCCTGCTAGTGTTTCCCTACTCCGCTTGCCACTTGATGCCATTGGGTTGGGTACGTCGCAGGGTAATTGCTCCAAGTGGGGCGTTCGCTTTGGCGCGAAGCAGATTCGCCTTCAAAATTTGTAACGGCTAGAACATTGGAGGGCGGTTCTTGATTTTGGGGCGGCCGCGTGGCCGAGTGGCCGAGCAGATGGGGCGCCTTCCAGCCCCCGAGCAACGCCGCGCCGCCGCACTGGCCGCCAGCATTGGCGGTCACCTTTCAAGCATCTGACCCAATGCTCCGAGGAGTCCTGGCAACCCGCCTTCCCAGGGGTACTCAGTGGATCTGGGCGGCTCTCATCGTCGTGGCGCCGTGTCAGCCAGGGCCGCGCGGCCGCCTTCGAATTCGATGTCAAGCACGATGTCCATTCGGATACAGTGTAAACCCATGCCCCCGGAAACACCCTGCCTGCCGCCAGGGTGCCCCGGGTCTCTTGTGTTTCGATCGATGGGTCTGTCCTGGACGTGACGCTCCCACACCAAAAATCAAAGCACGTCCTGGTGCCTCAGGGTTGGGTTTCTTGTGGAGGGTCTCTTGTGGTCGGGCTCTCACTGTACCGCAGATTCGATTCGGTGTCGCGTGGCAGCGTCGGGTACAGCGTCCGCTGCGCGACTGGCTCCGCGCAGGCCTGCCGGCCGCCGTGCACGTCGCCCCTCCTTGTCAGCCGTCTTGAGTCTCTCGGGGGCCTCCTTGGGGCCTCTTGGGGCCTTGTGGGGGCCTCCTGGGGGCCCCTCGGGGCCGAGGGCTCGAAATGCACGCTCGGGTCCCCCCTCTGGGCCCCCTTTTGGAGCCGTCTCTAGGGCCTCTTGGGCGCGACTTGGGGCCGAATTGGGGCTGTCTTGTGATCTTGGGATCTTCGTGGGCCGTCTTGGAGCGTCGGGAGGCCGAAAATGCGAGACCAACGGAAGGGAAATCAATGACGTTTGCTTCTGGGGGCCCTCTTGGGAGACCTTTTGGGGCGTCTTGGAGGCCTCTTGGGCCGTCTGGGGGCCGTCTTGAACGTGTTGCAGCGTTTTGTTCAGTCAAGACGCTGAAATGAGGAACAGTTTGGGTTCGGAAGGAGCTCGAAGTTCCTTAGGTTCCTCCTGCCCTCCTGCGGCACAGAGGCGCTTACAGGGCCAAGAAGGGGCTTCGTTCCTTCTTTCAGCGTTCCTTCTGTTAGCGGCCCGACTGGAGGTGTCTCGGTGCCCTCCTGGAGCCTGCTTGGGGCCCCCGAGAGGTCATGCGGGAGGGCGCGGGCGAGCCCAGGGAGCACGCGCCGAGGCTTCGGAGGATCTGAGAATCTGGGGTCCTCCCTCCTCCTCCCTCCCCCTCCTCCCTCCTCCTCCCTCCCTCCTCCTCCTCCTGCTCCTCATCCTCCTCCTCCTTATCCTTATCCTCCTCCTCCTCCTCCTCCTCCTCCTCCTCCTCCTCCTCCTCCTCCCTCTCCTCCTCCTCCGGGCTCCTACAAGAAGCCTTAGGATGGAGGACTGGACTCGGGGGGTTCTGCAAAAGGACCCGAGGACGCGCCCACCTCATGCCCAGAGGCACGGTGGTGGACATACAGTCGGCCCGGATTAGTAGGTCGACCCTGTCAAATCAAGGGTACCTTTGTGTCCTGTGTCTCGCGACCCGTGCCTCCTACATTCCTGTAGCAACGTGGCCTCGGCAGGTTCTTGTGTCCTCTCGCGTGTCCTGTCCAATCCAACCCGACTGCACTGCAGCACGTCAGTTGTAGCATATTGGGTAGACCACAGACTTTGCACCGCACAGGTTGCACATCGAGCGCGTCAGAATCCATAATTTCGGATCCACGCCGGCAACACATATGTATTTCGCGTCTGTGTATATGTTGAACAGTTATGTGTGCAATGCATTGAGTCGTCATGCATAGCTAAATGCCCTGACGAACGGCCGTCGTCGGAAGTTGGCTCACGTCGTGTATGGCATCGTGATCCCCGAGGCCCTCATACGTTGGCACCAGGTGAAACAGCCTCAGCAGGCTTTCTGTCCTGCTCATGTTGCTCGTCTTCATAGTCCAAAACATAGTCTTGGGACGATCTTTCGACTATGTCCCACCATTTGGGAGTATTGCTTATCTATTTGTTCATGGTCCGTCCAAGATCGGCCTTTAGGGGGACAGGCCCGACCTAATCATAGTCCTTCTCCGTCGATGCCATCATTTTTTCGCGTCGGCGGCCCCAGGAGCTCTCGACACCTCCCCCAGGGCCCGGTGGGCCAGATCAGATCATCACTAACTACCTGCGCAGAAGCTGGACGTACAGAAGTGATTCCGGCGCGATGTGTTTCGATTTGCCGACGGCTTGGATCCCCCTCCGCAAACCCCCTCCCCTCGGGCGATTCCAGAGCGTTCCGGAGTGCTCTCAGCACGTTCCGGCACGCCCTGAAGGCTGCGGGGCCCCAGTCATGCTCCAGCGCCGCCCGATCTCAGGGATTGATCCATCCTCATCCGAGTTTGTCCTCGTCCCGGCTTCGTCTCGTCCGAGGTATGTGGAGCATGTCCCATTGGTTGGCGAGCGGCCAGCAGCTGTACCAGGACGAGTGGGTGGCCCGGCTCTCGAGGAGCGACGAGGGCATCTGGAGCCTGCTCAGCACGAAGAGGAAGCGGATCGGCCAGGCCGGGTACTCGTACGTGGTCATGGCGCACAACGGCAAGTGTGCCGACCGCCTGATCAAGATTCGGGGAACGAACAATGAGATGAGCATAACAATTCGGAGGCCCGCGCGGGTTTCTTGGATCGGCGTTGGACCCCCGATTCTGTGGCGCAGTACATTTGCAATACCATTGTCCCAAATCTATTGCACCACCCCCATTCAGCTGGACCCTCTTCAGCTGTCACCCACCTTGGTTCGTTCGCATGATCACCGAGCGCGTTCCACTGCTCGCAGAGTGCCTGCTCGCAGACGTCCGAAACACACACACATGTCCGCTTTGATGCAAGTCATCGTAGATCCTCCGGGGGGGATTCAGGAGGGGAAAAAAAACACAGACACAATGAATCGTCGATTCCCCAGAAAATATTGGAGAATGTGGGAAGTGGGGGGGAAGACAAAAACCCAGAAAACATGGGACAATATGGGGGATCCTGTTATTTGTGTGTATTTATTGGCGTGTCCCAGGGCTCATTCAGGGATCCAGGCCATATGCGAACAGTTGTTTTGCGAGTCGTGGAACGCGCTCGTCTACCAAAAGGACGGCGCCGGTGCAGACGGCCGCCCACGCGCCCTTGCGGTGCAAGTTCACCCCGCGCGCCTCGCCCTCCAGCGACCGCCTGGAGCTCAGCTCCCTGTGGGTCTGCGTGCTCTCCGTGCCCAGGCCCGAGGACTGGGTAGGTTTACCCATCGGTCGTTGAAAGTAGGTTTTTTGGGCATTCCCAGAACCCAATCTACTTCAAACGCCTTCCTACTTCAAGAACTGATATGCTTTTGCTGCGTTTTGTTGCTCTCTGGGCGGGCCCGGAGCCGATCTACTCTATTCGCCTTCCTACTTCATGTTTCTACCTACTTCTTCCGACCGATGGGTACGTCGGGCCTGTCCCTCTACAGGAGGAATGTTGAAAGATAGTCCAACCGTTGTCTGGGGACGATCTGTTTTTGAACTATGTTTGAGCATGCTTGGGGTACTGCTTTACTATTTTTTCCATTTTTCGCCCAAAATTTGCCTGTAGGGGGGCACGCCCGACCTAAGGTTCGGGCAGGTTCGTGCGGCGACGGCGCGCCAGCGACGCCGGCGGAGGCGTGCAAGGTTGAATTCTGCGACGCGGAAGCACCGAGGGACACGGTGACGCCATGGGACCCGACGGAGTTCAACCTTGAACGATCGGGGCCGCGATCGATTCAAGGTTGAACGATCGACGCGGTGTCGAAAACCTTTGCGCGCGCCGACGCCGCACGATGCTAGCGTGCAGACCTTTGCACACCCAGCGCCCGGGGAACCGATGCCTCCAGGACGACAGGCTCGAATCCGATGCCTCCTAGCTTCCTGGGTCAATCGGGTTCCCAGGCGGTGGGTGTGTACTGATGGGCTCCTTTTCCACAACCACTACCATAGTTAGGAGAGGGAGGAGGAGGAGGAGGAGGAGGAGGAGGAGGAGGAGGAGGAGGAAGAGAAGAAGGAGGATGTGGAGGAAGAGGAGGAGGATAAGGAGGAGGAAAACGGCGGAGGACCCTCCCCATCCTCCCTTCTCCCCCGTCTTACCTACGGTAATGGTGGTGAAGAATTTGCCCATCATGTACACATCGGGGCCTCTGGCCAGGGGAGCCGCGAGATTCGAGGGTGCGTTCGTGGAGGAGCATGCCGTGCTGAGCTGGATCTCAAACAATTCCGCCAAGTATCCCCAGGACTCTGAGGAGGAAAAGTACTCATACCGCTACCCTTCCCTCATGTTCTTTGCCTCTCCTGGGAGGGCCTCGTCGCCACCGCTGGATTCACCTCGAAATTTTGGTCTGAAGGCAGCCCGGGAGAGGTCCGGGGAGTAGTGGTATCGGTACTTGTTTGTTTCCCCAAGGATGCCGCGGATCCCGACAGGGAAATATGGACGCTCATCTCAACCCCAAGATACGGGACGGACAACAAGTGTCCTCAGGAGCTGGCTCGACAGAAAAGGGGAGTCAGTTCATCAAGACTTCTCTACTCATTTGGGGCGTGCGTGGGTGCATTACGGGGCGTTGTGAAAACTACGTCCGGACCAACTCTCATGCACCATGCATGCCCCCCCCCCCTCGCCCGTTAACCGCGTGCGGGCGATCGCCCGTTGACCGCGTGCGGGCGATAATAAAACATACCCCCCATTACCCCTCTCTATTTTCGATCTCCGTTCAACAGGAATTAATTGTGGAGTGGGGCGCGGAGGCCGAATTTTGTAATCCACGGGGGAAGTTGCGAATCGAAGTTGTTATCATCTCATGTTGACTAGCAACAGCATCAAAAACGCTGAACATGGTCATGGTGGTCTCACCACATCAGCTTCCGCAATCACGATGCCGTGCTTGCATGGGGGACTGGTTCGAAGTTGAGCGCAAGAGAGGTTTTTCTTGGCCAGAACGGCCAAGGACCTCTCTTGCGCTGGCAAGTTGTAGGCACGATCCTCGAGGTCTCTCGAGTCAGTCTTGTGCCGAGCGCCTGCTGGCAAGTTGTATAGCCACGAGCCTCGAGATCTCTCGAGTCAGTCTTGTGCCGAGCGCCTGCTGGCAAGTTGTATAGCCACGAGCATCGAGATCTCTCGAGTCATTCTTGCGCGTAGCGCCCAGGATCATCATCATGGTCATCGTCATCACCATCATCATCATAACTTACCTTCCCCGGGAAAATCCTTCATTATCCCCGCCAGACCCCCGAACTCGATTACACCCCGGTGATTATTATTGCCCGTAGTCGGTTAGTTCCCCCGCTTTGCCGTCCACCTGGCAGGAGTCTATACCTCCTGATGTCCGTGGGAAGGTATCTGGGGAACGCCAGCAATACGCCCACACACCCGTCTTGGCCAGGCCACTTCTGGGTTCACAATTGGCGCATATGCCTCGCAGGCCGAGCCAGCGGGGCCTACTGTCAAGACGCTGATATACTGAACAGCGCGGTTTCGGAAGGAACTCGCTGTTCCTTACGTCCTTCCATGGCTGTTCCTCTAGAGCTACCTTTTCAGCCAGTCGCCTAAGGGCCCGGACAGACTTCGCGTCTTCTTGAGAGCTCCTTGTGGTACGGTAGGTTCATGCGGCGTTGGCGTGCCGGCGACGCCAGCGAGAGCATTAAAGGTTGGATTCTGCGACGCGGAAGAACCGATGGACACGGTAACGCCATGGGACCCGACGGAATTCAACCCTGAGCAAACGGGGCCGCGCTCGATTCACGGATGAACGATCGACGCAGTGTGAAAGATTTTTGTTCGTGCCGACGCCGCACGGGGATCTCGGCTGTACACCATGTCGCCAGCATGGGCCCAAGGGTGTGATCGCGCCTCGCGGTCTCGGCAGGAGCTTTGGCCTTCCCTGGGGCGGTACAGCGCCCGGGCGCACCGTGCCTGGTCAGGAACATCCTCGGCGGCAGGATGGTGCATAGCCATAGCCTCCTGGCCGAGGCCCGCAGGGCGATGCCCTCTGTGGATGGGGGTACTGGGAACCTGGGCCCAGGAAGGTTCCCGCCAGGACCCGTGCCCTCGTGTGTGTGTGTGTTCTGCTGTGCTGTGCTATGCTCTGCTCTGCTGTGCTGTGCGGTGCGGTGCGGTGTGGTGTGGTGTGATGTGGGGTGGTGTGTTGTGGTGTGCAGTGTTGTGAGGTGTTGTGCCGTGTTGTGCCGTGTTGTGCCGTGTTGTGTTGTGTGGCGTTGTGTTGTGTTGTGTGGCGTTGTGTTGTGGTGTGCTGCGTTGCGTTGCGTTGTGTTGCGCTGCGTTGTGTCATGTTGTGTGCTGTGCGTTGTGTGTCGTGTGTTGCGTGTTGTGCGTTGCGTGGTGTTGTGCGTTGCTTGTGTTGTGTGTGGCGTGTGACGTGTGTGTGTGTGTGTGTTGTGTGTTGTGTGTGTCGTGTGTCGTGTGTCGTGTGTGTCGTGTGTGTGTGTGTGTGTCGTGTGCAGCGTCCTCCCAGGTGTCCGCCGACATGCGCGCAGCCTGCGGCTCCCTGCTCGCCGTGGACGCCGGCTCCCTCGAGGTGCTGCACCTGCAGCGGCGGGCTCAGCGTGTGCTCCCCTCTCCTCCTCCCTCCTCCTTACCCCTCCCTCCTTCCTCCTCCTCCTTCCTCCTCCTCCTCCTCCTCCTTCCTCCTCCTCCTCCTCCTCCTCCTCCTCCAGGGCTTAGGTGGACACCTGCAGAGGCGAGGCGGAGGGGGGCGGCCGTTGGAAGGCGCGCTCCCGATGGCACAATGAATCGGGGGAGGGGGAGGGGCGACTAACCTTCCGACGGAGCGCCGCCCTCTCCCCCCCCCCCCCACCGCCCCGGGAGCTTCAGCCTCAAAACTGCCATCACCACCCACCCCACTTCCACCCGACGGCACGCGCGCTTCCCCCCCCCCCCCCCCAAGCCAACAGGGGGGAGGGCGATAATTGCGCCATCCGGAGTGTGCATTTTCATCTTCCGCAATTGTTTTACCAGTTTGATGCATATCCCTACGCCTATGTTTGGCATCACCCTACCTCAGTTACTGAGGGCGCATCCCCTAGATCACTATCGCCTTGGGCTTGCCGATCTTAGGGACAGGGATCAGTTCCGGTGAACTGTCCCTCTGCGGGACAGGTGCAGGGAAATATCGAAGATAGAAAACCCCTGACCCTAATAACACAGTGAAGACGTGGTCTCACTGAGGTCCCCGTCGTTGCATTCGGGATGCCAATTCTGAGCGGTTTGGTTGGGTACATCCGCAGCAAAGGCCTTTTATCCGCAGTGTGTGTTGGCCCTCCTACCTTCGGTGCCCTCCCAAAGCGTTTCGGGGGCGGAAAAGAGGGGGGTGATGACTAGGGGGGGGTGGATATCATGGCGGGGGCCATGATATCTCCCCAGATTTCATGGCGCCTCCTCTTATTTCATTACGTCCCTGGCCCCCCCGCTGGGCCGCGCACATGCCGCCGGTCATGATTTGCGCACCCCCCTCTTGGACACCCCCCTCTTGGCCGCTCCCGAGGGTTGGGGGTCCTGCTATTGCCCATCAGGGAAGGCTGGGTTCCGCGGCAGCGGAGGCACGCAGACCATGCCCCGGTGACCTTGGCGCAGGTGATGCTCAGCGCGCGCCCCGCGCCGCGCTCCGAGCAGCTGCCATTCGTGCGAGCACGACCCGAGGGTTCGTCGCAGAAGGAAGGATTGCAAAAAAAAGAAGGATTGCAAAGGATTGCAAAAACGAAGGATTGCAAAAAAACCCTCGTTGAACGAAGGATTGCAAAAAAACTAAGGATTGCAAAGGTTTTTGTTGCAATCCTTCGTTCAAACGAAGGGTTTTTGTTGCAATCCTTCGTTTTTTTTGCAATCCTTCGGCCTGGCATCGCTGGACGTGTTTTTGTTTGGTGTCTCGGCGAGGACCCTCGAGGAGCATGCTGGACCAGCTTGCGCAAAAGGAGCGCGCGAGGCCGAAAAGGGCACGGGGAATGGACGTCTGGGCGATGGCGGCAAGCGGGGGGAGACTGCTTGGCGGTGAGCCCGGGGGGGAAGCGAGAAGGGGCGGGCCCTCAGAAGGCTCGGGAGTCCCCCGGCCTTCTGAGAAGTGTTCTGAGCCTTCACCGAAGACGCAGAAGAAACGTCTCAGGAGGCGCGAGGGCTTCTGAGAAGTCCCGCCGCCTTCTGCCGAGCATTTTCTTTGGGTGGAGGGCAAAGGGTGAAATCTGAAATGCCGTTTCGACTGATTTTCGAGGCCCGAATCTGCAAACGGTGAATCACAAGACGGATTGATTTCCGAGGTGCAGGAGCCCATATGGATTTCACCCTAAGCCCTCCACCCTAAGACGATGCTCAGTTCTGAGAGGGCCTACTCCTCCTCACTTGCCCTTCCCGCTCGCCGCCAGACTGCGCGCTCGGGCCATGCAGCTCGGCGTGGTCTCTCGCGCGAGCACGAGCTCGGCCCGGGATCGCGGGAAGGCCGTGCGCGCCTCGACGGGCCTCGGCCTTCCCGGCAGCGCGGTCCGTGGGGGCCAGCAGGAGCGTGTTTCTGTACTGCTTGGGGCAGAATGGGCATCAGAGCCCCCCTGCCCCCCTCTCCCCCCCACACACCTATGACGTAACGCCCCGTGCCCTCCAGGCACTGCCGCCGTGCGCATCAGGCACACGGCGGGAGGCAGGCGTTACATTATACCACCCCCTTCGGCCCCCTCCCCCCCTACAATGCTCATTATCGCCGACACTAAAGAAACGCGCCCCAGGTGTTTGGCAGTTCCTTTGGCGAGGTCTCCTGCTCCTCCTGCCCCGATCCCTTCTTTCGGAGATGCAACTCCTGGGAGGTAAACTTCGGGCTTTGCCGTGGTCCGAAATCCAGCTTCGCACCGCTCAATCCAGATTCCTCCCACGTAACCCGGCTTCATCCCGCTTAATCCTCGGCCCAATTTGGCGAAGCAGTTTTCTTCCTTGATGTTTCCAGCGAAGACGTCCCAGTAGTTGCCTCCTAATCTTCTCCACCCTCCTCAGCTGAGCGACGCCAAGAAACGGGGTCCTCGGCGCCGACATTCGCGCGCAAGCTGCTCGCGTAAGCTCGCGCGTGGGCCCCCCCGTCCCCAGAGTACCGTGCCGCGCTGGCGGCCCGCGTAAGCCGCCGCGTAAGGTCGCCGTGCCATCTCTCGCGAGACCGTTGATGATCGTCCCTCAGCTGGCCCTCCCCCCGAGGGCTAAATCGGGCCTGTCCCTCCACTTTTCTATCATTTGCTGATTTACGTATAACATTTTTGTCTTGCATCATAGCTTCACCCAAAATCCGCCTGTAGGGGCACATGCCCGACCTAACCCGCGGGTGGCGGGAGCGGCCTGTCCGCTTCGGTTGCGGCGCCCGCTCCCCCGCCGAGGGGGGGCGCACGGGGGGCTGGCCGCGTGGGGCGCCGTGTTGTTGGCTCGGCCCTGGCCGAGGCACGGCAGCGCGGGGGCGGCTCGTCGTCGTCGTCTTCGTCGTCGTCGTCGTCGTCGTCGTCGTCGTCGTCTTTGTTTTCGACGTTGGATCCACAGGGGTCCAAGAGGCCCGTGTCCATGCAGAGGTGGGGGAGAAGGGAGGCTGCAGGCTAGTGCGTGGGCGAGGGCGAGGGGAAGGCATCTTCCGCCGCCTTCCCCTTGTGGCACCCCCGATCAATTCCCCTCCTTCGCCTGCCACTTCCGGCTCCTTCCACTCCCGTTCCTGGATTGTTGCTATTCGTCTCGCCCCAGCGCGGGCCACTTTCTTGAATCCGAGTCTTTCTTCATCACTGTCGCCACCCTCACTTCCCCTCCTCCGCCTTCCCCTCGTCCTCCGTGCCCTCCCGATCCATCCGCCTCAGTTCCTGATGCTGCTGTTCGCCCACCCACCACCTTCTCCTGCTGTTTCTGTTCTGTTTCTGTTTGCACATATCACGATGGGGCCTTTCCGTGTGAGCCGCAGGTCGGTTGTGACACGCGTCCGCGGATAGAAAACGCAGCACCATGGGAAGGAAGGGATGGGAGGGAGGGGTGGGATGCCAGATGAGACGCGCGCGCACCCAGCTTGCCCCACCCGCCCTCGTCGCCCCGCCTCGCCTTCCTCGGACACCAGCCACCACGATGGCGCCGTCGACGACGACGACGACACGACGACCACGTTGTCGTCGTCGTCGTCGTCGTCGTCGTCGTCGTCGTCGTCGTCGTCGTCGGCCACCGCGGTGCCGCCGCCGATGACGACTCGACGGCGCGTTCCCCGAGGCTGTGGGGCGCCGCGCTGCCGCTGAACACGTGCGCCCAGCACTTCGTGCACGACTCGGCCGCCCGCGTCGGCGTGTGCGGCGACTGGCTCCCTGGGGACCCAGGGGGACGAACAATGACATAAACATGACAACTCAGAGGTCCGCGCGGGTTTCTCGGATCGGCGCTGGAACCCCCCCTGGAGGCGCTTCAGGCGCCGCCCTTGGCACGCTCCGCGCGCCAGGGAGGGGGGTCCAGGCCAGATCCAAGAAGTCCGCGCGGAGCGCCAAAAGTTGATGTTCATGGCGTAGTTTCTTCTCTTATCCCTTCGGGCCCCGAGATCCTGGCGTGTTTTTTGTCGAGCCAGGCGCGTTCGCCTGTTTTCGAGGTCCGGGAGCCTCACAGGTCGATGCGGTTCGAACACAGGAAGATGTGGGCCCAGGGCTCTGGCCGTGAATTTCATCGTGTTGCATCTTTTCTCTACGCCAGATCTCAGGGGAGGGGGTGCTACTGCTGCCTTGGTCAGTCCGCCGACGTCGCCGTCGTCGGTCGTCGGTGGAGTAGGGTCCCGTCTTCGTCCGTCGGCGTCCGTCGTCGCGATTTGCTGCCGTCGCCGTTGACCGTCCTTGTCGGTCGGTCGTCGTCAGCCGTCGTCATTATTGCCGTCGATCTGTGTCGTCTCCGTCAGTCGACTTCGTCGTCGACGTTCGTCTTCGTTCGTCGTCCTCGTCAGTCCTCGTTGTCAGAACGTCGACTGTAATAGACCATTTTTGGGAACACGACGACGGTCCCAGAATCCATTGAAGACCGGTCCCAGCCTATTACCAGGCCTCACCTTGATACGTTCAAAGAGCCAGGTCCAGGAAAGGCGACGAGAGCCTTCTAAGAGGAATTGGAATCGAGCGGGGCCGGGACAAGGAGAAGTCCATTCCAGAGCGCTCCGGAACGCTCTCAGAGCGTTCCCGAACGCTCTGAGCAGGCCGCGACATATCTTCCAGAGCCGACGGATCTTAGAGGTTCTCGATTTATCCTCACCCGACTTGATCCTCGTCTTGGCTTCGTCGGATGGAGAAGGTCTGCGGGTGTCCCCCGGGGGACGGTCCCCAGAGGCCTCCAGTCGCTCGCAGAGGCCCGAGGCGTGCCCCCGAAGGGCTCCAACGTCGCGCTCCTCTCCCACGGCCCAGAGTATCAGGGGCAGCGTCAAGGGGGGGTGCAGGCTCCGCTGGGAGCGTTCGTATTGATCCCCACTTGAGCGACGCAACAGACGGGTTCGACTGCGACAGCACGGGCGCGTAAGCTGCTCGCGTCAGGTCTCGGCGGCGAGCGAGTGGGGGAAGTGAGAAGGGGCGGGCCTCCTCAGAAGGCTCGGAAGTCCCCTTGCCTTCAGAGGAGTTCCTGAAGCTTTTCCCAAAGACGCAGAATCCTTCTCAGGAGGCGCGAGGGCTTCTGAGAAGTCCCGCCGCCTTCTGAGAAGGCCTTCTCCTTCTCATTACCCCCCCTCGCTCGCGGCTCAAGGTCGCGCGTGAGCGCCCTCCTCTCCAGTGTGGCCTGCCGCGCCTGCGGCCCGCGTGAGCCACCGCGCAAGGTCGCAGTGCCATCTCGCGTAAGACCCGTTTTTGATCGTCTCTCAGTTGCCCATTCATCGCCGATATGGGGCTGATGGCCCACCTGCCCCGAAACTTGCGGATTTCTATGGGGGGCCGCTCGCCGATATTCTGTCGGCGATGCATCGCCGATTCCAGCTCGGTGTTTCCACACCACCCTTTTAGATGCTCGTGTTGAGGACCTTCCGGGGCCCGCCGAACGAATCCAAAAGTTCGTTTCTAGTTAGACTCCAGCTCTACTCTAGTCAGAGCCCACGGACGTGCGTCGCAGCATCGACGCATGAGTGGAGCGAGAGGCTCCAGGAAGGTCACCAGAGCGACGCTCCCCCCCTGAGCCAGTCCCCCTAACATTGACCCTCAAAGGAAGGAGGAGGAGGGTGAGTAGCAGGATGAGGAGGAGGAGGAGGACAAGATGAAGGAGAAGGTGGAGGAGGAGGAGCATCGGAGCATCCTCATGGGGTGAGCCTTGACGCCGTGGGTTCTCCTCCGCAGGCTCACGGCGCCCTCGGTCGAGGGCGCTCTGTTCAGCGGCCTGGCGCTCGCGGAGGCCATCGACAGGCTCATCCTCCTCGTCGTCGTCGTCGTCGTCGTCGTCGTCTTGGTCATCGTCGGCGTTTTCTTCGTCACCTTCGCCGACCTGGTGGCGGAGGAGTCGGAAGAGAAGGAGGGAGGAGGAGGAGGAGGAGGAGGAGGAGGAGGAGGAGGAGGAGGAGGAGGACGGAGGAAGAGGAGGACGACGAGGAGGAGGAGAACGGGGAGGAGGAGGAGGAGGAGGACGAGGAGGAGGAGGAGGAGGAGGAGGAGGACGAGGAGGAGGAGGAGGAGGGATGAGGAGGAGGGAGGAGGAGGAGGAGGAGGTGGAAGAGGGTCAGGAGGAGGGAGGAACGCCTAGAGGCACGACGTCGACGGCGACCGAGCCGACAGCGCCGACCACGGCGGCGACGGCGGACGGCGGCCGAGCGGCGGCTCTCGCGGCCAGGGAGCTGCGCGGCGGCCTCGTGAGCACGCCGGTGAAGCGCTTCCAGGGCCTGGTGGATTGTCACGCCATGTCGGAGGAGAAAGGGAGACCACCCTTCATGATTATTTGTTATGATGGTGATGAGGATGATGATCAGCATCATCATCATCATCATCATCATCATCATCATCGTCATCGTCATCATCATCATCATCATCATCATCATCATTATCATTATCATCATCATCATCATCATCATAATCATCATCATCATCATCATGGTGATGGTGGTGATGGTGGTGATGGTGATGATGTTGACGTTGGTGGTAATACTGATGATGATGATGATGCCGATGACGATGACGATGACGATGATGATGATGATGATGATGATGATGATGATGATGATGATGATGATGCTGATGCTCATGATGATTATGGTAGTAGTATTGTTGTTGTTGATAATGATGGTGGCGGCAGTGATGGTGACGGTGGTGATGAAAAAGGTTGTGATGAGAATGTTGTTGATGATGCCAGACAGGCAGAGGCCATAGACCTAAGTCGTGCGGCAGGACACAAAGAGCGCGAACATCGCAGAGCGCGACCTAAGTCGTGCGACAGGCAGAGCGCGAAAATCGCATCGCAGCCCCTGCGAGCTGTGTATTGGGCATGGTCTAACAGTTGCCAGGTGGTCAAGTGTTGCCAGGTGTAATGATGATGGTATTAAATTGATGATGATGATGATGGTGTTGATGATGATGGTGGTTATGATGATGCCTGTGGGGATTGGGATGGTTTTTTTATTCGTCGACATCTGGGATGAGTGCTCTGGCCTGAATGGATGGCTGGAGTCTTGCAAAAAGAAGGCTTCGATGGCTATACCACCGCTTCGAAAAGAATCCCGTCGCACGGAGGGCTGGACTCCGTAACTCGCAAAGCGCGTGCACAGGCAGGTGCTCGAGCGGCGTGGCTGGCTGTGCGGGGTGAGGGGTGGCGGCACTACAATGAAGAGGGATTCAAGCGCAGACTCCGTGACAGCCATCACGGTGCCCGATCTCTGCACACAACTATACGATGAATGGTATCTGTCAGAAGATAACTATAGTCCGAAGTCTGCTGCCGCCGCTTCGTCGGCCGAGAAGTCATGCTCTGGGGCGACCTCAGCTCCTAGACTCGGCGATTCAACCTCCCGATCGCCGTGTGAGTCTGTGGGTGCGGCCGACGGGCGAGCGTATCTAATGCTGATGACTGGTGTCTGGACCGGTGCCGCGCGAGGCGGCGAGCTTGAACGAACAAAGAGGATGGGAAGAGAGAGGTCACGCGCGGCGGGGCCACGCGACAGAGGTAGCACAGGCGCCTTCAGTTCGTGATCATCAGGAGCTCCGTCTACTGAGCGAGCGCGTCGAGCCACGTCGACAGCTCCTCCTCGAGCCAGCCCGCTGGCATGACCCCCGTATGGATGATGGCCGAGCCCTCGCAGCGGAGGGCGGCGAGGATGTGTGGGCGCATGTCCCACTCGTTCATGGCGAAGAGGATCTTCGTGTTCTTCGTCTCGTGGCATTTCTCGAGCCTGATGAAAGTGACCGCGTCCTCGATCGTGGTCTTCGCTATCGTGGTGTCGTCCTCGGGCGCCCCGTTGGCCCTGATGAGCCATGCCTCCAGGATCTTCTTGCACGCGCCGCCGATGTCGCAGCCGATCAGGGCCTCGACTACTGCCAGGACGAGAGAGGCAGTCGGCGATCCGAGAGTCTTGAGCGCTGCCTGCTGCGCCTCGTCGCCCTCGCGGAGCGTCTGGACCTCCTGCTTGAAGGTCTCGAGCTCGTCCGAGATGGCCACGATCAGCGGGTGTGTCGTCGCGAGCGTCACTGTGTCCACTGCGGTGGCGAGGGCGAGGCGGGCGCGGTGGCTGGTTTGCAATACTAGCTTTCCCATGACTGTCATCATCTGCTGCAGGTTCTTGTCCTTGCTGGTCCACGTCTTCTCTGTGTGGGCCCCGCGGCGGTGGCGCTTGCCTCCGCGTCGCCGACGGGCGGGGGCTGCGGTAGCTCCCTGGGGCGGTGTTGCTGCTGCCGATGCCGCCGATGCCGATGCTGGTGCTGCCAGGGTGGGCTTCTTGTGGGGCGGCGCGCCGTGCGACTCGTTGTTCCCACCATTCAATGAGGGGCGCGATGAGCCCCCCAGCCGCCAGGCCGCCCTGCGTGGGGGGGCGCCGTTGCCGCTCTTCATCTGGACGTCGGGCCTGTCGGACGGGCGAGCGGCTGCTGCAGCTCCTTCCCCTCCCATCTGTGCGCCAGGTCGGGGTTGCTGTGGCTCCTTGGCCTGGTAACTGTGGCGCGGCGGCCGCTGGCGAGGGGAGGGCCGACGCAGTCGGCGGTGCACCTGCTTCGTGTAGGTGAGGTGGCGCAGTCCCAGGCTGCGGGGTCCGCCGAGTGCCTCTCGGCTTGGCGGCTGGTGCAGCACGTGGAAGGAGAAGACGGTGGGAGGCGCGCTGCAGCGCACGTCTGGCCTCCGCGGTGTCCGCGAAGCCGGTGCCGCGGTCGACCGCGGCGGGGGGGGCCACGGGCGCGCCGCGCGCCCTCGGGGTCGGCGCGGTCGGTGCAATCAGCCTGGTCCATTTCGAGCCAGATGGAGACGGAGGAACGTGTTCACAGAGATGTTTCCGTAGGGCCTCGGCACTCTGGAAGGGCTCGCAGCACCCAGGATTACTCGAAACGTTCGAATAGGGACACAATCGCATAGTGGTAGGGACATACTCATAACAATGACGAGTTTGATCGGGTAAGCAACGTCCCTGCAACCAAGATCTTCGATGGTGTCTCACTGTGTGGTCGACGTTCGAGAACACAGTGTTGCACATCAGGCACCTGTTGTCAACGGTGACGGTCGTGAGGATCGGGGGCCAGCCGTGTCCTGGGGCTTTCGATTGGACCTGATGGATCACAAGTCTGTGAAGGGTCGGAAATCGTTTATTACAGTCCCCAAGAGTGCACACGAGATCAGTTTCCTCGTCGTCCGAGTCCTCGCCGATCGGGGTCGGCAGGGGGAGGTGGTTGGTGATGGGTAGAGCTTCAGGAGGGGCCCATTCCTTGGAGACGAAGGTGGTGCGAATCTCTCTCATGTCGTACTGTCGGAACCGCTCGCTGATCGACGGGTCGTGAAATAATCTCGGGATGATCCTCGGTTTCCAGATGTCGCTCAGATCAGAAGCCATGGGGTGTCGTAACAAGATCTCGAGATCCTCGCCGAATTGTCGGGCCCATGGATGCACATCGGGATGATCGCGGAGCAGTCCAGTCTCGGTGAGGGTCGACTTCGCGTCGGAATCGGGCCCAGTCTGCTCGAACCTGCATTGGCCGAACATGGCCGAGAGAAAGTGTGCGTGGTGAGCGGGTTCGGCTACGATGGATTGCCACCAGCACAGCCGACGTATTAGCAGCTCTATGGCGGTCGGGACAATGTCCAATTCCTCGAATACCTGCTTATTCGTGAGAGAGGAGTGGACCTCGTCGTCAGAAACCTCATGGGCCTTGCCTAGGAGGAGGGCGCGCATCTTCTTCGCCAGAGACCTATCCAGGCGCCTAGACTCACTCTCCAGGAGAACGTAGGATTCTAACCCCGACCACATTCTGCCCGCTACGTTGGAAATAAACGACATGCGTTTACACCGAAGGGGTCCAGGGGCAGTCCAGAATCTGCTGAGGTTACACCAGCCAATGTTCCCAGATCGTATTCGTTCAGTGATTTCCTTTGTGTTGGACCCGTTGATATTAATATAGCCTCCAAGGTGGATCAGGTTAACGACGGGGGTGCCAAGGATCTCCTTTTCCACTAACTTCGTTTCCTGTGCACGTCGTAGTCGGACTAATGTATCTTGTTTATCAACATTTTGGGCGTATCCATCCTTCTGGAGCTCTATGTTCAGGATGTCGTTGTCGATTTTATCCAAGAGGAGGGCATTCTGGGGGGACCCCTCGGGGACGATGAAAATCTTGATCAAATCATCGATGAACCCCCCGCGACTCAAGTCCTGGACGGTGTTCGTAATCGGGCAAGGGGAGTCGAAGAGGGGGCCCGTGATGTCAGTGAGGGTGGCGTGCCAACGCTCGACGGGTAGATAGAAGGCGCCCATAAACAGCTCTGGCTCGTTAGAGTCGCCCATCCTCCCGCCCTCCCCAGGTCGCACACAAAGGGGCCCGTCCGCCGCGTCGATGCGAATCACCGCCTCCGTGCGGTGCAGCTCCAACATGCGAGTAAAATGCCTCGACGGTTGCCGAGCAGCCTGCGCATCGATGAGTCGTGAGGTAAGACCAGTTCCAAAAGCATTTCGCATATCGTAAGACTTTATCATATAAGCAAAACCTTGGTGTCGAAGTTTCCACTCGAGTATTTTTACGATGGACATGAGGGCCTCCCGTCGACGTTTGCGAATACCTCCGTATGCCCAGTCGGGTGGGGAAAACTCCGAACCATACACGGTCAAGCCGATTCTGAGATAGAAGCGCCACCAGGGGCAGAAACAATGGATCGTTCTCAAGCACGCAGTAATATCTTTCACGGGATCTCCTGTCGGTCGCTTGCCCTTCTTGGGGATGAGAATACCCTGACTCGTGACGGCCTGTCTCGGGAGACGTTTCGAGCATCGGACGTGGGCCAGCAACGAGACCAGGACCGCGGGACCCTCGGCAATCACATCATTTCCAAGGGCACCTAGCTTCCGTCGATCGGGTCGTCGAACCTTGATGCGGGTGCCTTCCCATCCTAAGCCCGCGTGATCCGGAGGCCCAGTGAGGGTGTAGTCAGCATCTTCGTGTCCGATACCGATCCGTGGAATTCCTGGCTTGGTGAGGGTCAGAGGGCTAAACATCATCATCGTGAGCTCCACGGGCCAACTCCAAGGGGGACTGTACCTACGGTGTCGTTGTGTCCAGATTCGTTCCCCCATGAATCGGAGATCGTCGAAGGCCTGCGTGTAATCCTCGGGGGACGGGCTCGCTCGCGTCGTGCCGATGGGGTGGACGTCGGAGGGCGGGGTGCTGAGGAGGGTCTCGACGGCTTGACTGTCCCGTATCCACATGCTGTCGTGAACCTCTGCTGCTGACAATCCTCCTGCTACACCCGGAAGAGAGACCGCTGCCAGGAAGGAGGAGGCGAGGGGACGTGCTGCAGGGAGTGCCAGATAAGAACGTTTGCGCGCGCCCATGCGTGTGCCTGCTCGTAGTCGTGCCAATTCTGCTACGCGTGCTGTCTCTCGCCGTGCCCATGCTTCCCGAAGCTCGGATTCAATAGAGTACTTCCACCAATCATCTTTCCACCGCTGGAATTTCTTAAGGTTGCGAGTGACCGTTTTGATCTCAGTCGAATGCACATGTGCACCCTGCTCACGTAGTCGCGCACGTTCCCGAAGAAGTGTGAGGCGCTCCGCTCGTGCATCAACAACCCACTGTGGCGTACTATAGTGCTTAGAGTAGTACTTCTGAGCCGTGGAGCGTATAATATGGCTGACTACCGCCGCGTGTCTCGTGGGGTCATCGTCCTCAATGACAATGTCTAGGATCGGGGAGGCTCGTTGTAGTCCCTCGTACAGGTCTCGAAGGAATTCGCGCCTGGCGTGCCCAATCTGAAGACCTGCTGCAATCAATCCCCAATCCCAGACACAGTACCCAATGTCTTGAGGGGAGGGAGGGGCGGTAACCGTAACGTCCATGGCCATGGGTATGTGATCTAGCATATGAGGGAGTACCTGCAAACGTCGGTGGCTACGCCAACACATGGTCATGCGGGTGATGTGACATAACAATGGCTGAGGTACAATAAAATAATCGATCCTAGATCGTGCACCGCCGTTGCCAAAGAAAGAGTAACCTAGATCATAATAACTGTTGGCCGCTGCTAACTCATGTTCAAGAAGCCGTCGGTGAACGAGTTGGCCGATGTCACTTTCAGCTGCCGCCTGGAACGGACCTACTGCGTCGTCGTCCGTGACTGTCCCGTTCTGCCGTCCAAGGTTCATGTTAAGGTCTCCAAAGAATATGGGGATGACCCTGGACGGTGTGCTGGTGATTTCTTCGAGGACCCAGTTTAGCAAACGCTGGTAGGCCACACGCCATTGACGAAGTTGTGCAGCTGCTGATGGACGTGGCTGGAAATACGCAACAATAAACCTAGCTCTGAAGGATCCCTGAAAGATGTCCACCGATCCCCCTCTGCCCTGGAGCTCAGAGGGGGGGGTGTTTACTCTGATGACGTCTTTGGCCCGAAATCTGCTGTGCGAGAGTCCGATCGAACATCCCGCCGACGCGTTGGTCATGCTCCCCCTGGCCCACCCGAAATTGATGAAGAGGTGGCGGTGGACTTTATCGTACATGTGGGGTGACCCCGGCCTGGAGCGGAGCTTGGTCCCCGCCAAGAGGAGCACGTCTGAGTTCCTAAACGCGTCGGAGACCTCCACGACCCGGCCCGTGCCCAGGAGGGTGAACGGGTTCCATCCCACGACCCGCAGCTTGTGTGCCATGGCGCGCGCGCGTGCACATGTCAGGTGCGTGTGTGGGAGGGGCCGAGGGACGGGAGGGGAAAGAGGCCTGCCCGTACCCCCCACACCCCGCCACAGCCCCCGCCGCGAGCGCCGCGCACAGCGCCGCGGGCTCGTGGGGGCCCCCCGCAGCGGCCTCGCGGGGCGCCGAGGGGAGGGGTTGGGAGCCGCCCGCGCCGACGCAGCTCGAAGCTTCGTGGCGGCTTGGATTGGGATGGTGATGATGATGATCACGATGCGGATTATGATACTGATGTTGATGATGATGATGTTGATCATGTTTCTGGCTGCTGATTATGATGATCATGATGATGAATACGATGATGATGCTGATGACGACGATGGCGATGCTGAGTATGCTGATGATGACGATGATGATAATGACATTGCTGATTGTCCCTCATGCTGTGCTGCCGCGCGTGTCTCGGCGCAGTCTGACAGAATTGGAGGACCGGCCCAGCCAGGTCATCATCAGCATCATATCATCATCATCATCATCATCATCATCATCATCATCATCAGCACCATCATCCTCATCATCGTCATCATTATCATCATCATGATCATCAGCACCATCATCATCGTCATCATCATCATCGTCACCATCATCATCATCATCATCATCATCATCATCATCATCATCATCATTACCAGCAGCATCATCATCATCTCCACCATCACCACCGCCATTCCCATCTCGACGATCATCTTTACCATCCTAGCGATCCCCATCATCATCCCCCGCACCGTCACCGTCACCATCATCACCATCCGACGGAAGGTCGCATGTTCTCGAAGAATGTGCGTCTGTCCCAGGTCCCAAGGACGTTCTTGAAGGACGTTCTTGAGGGATGTTTTTGAAGGGTGTTCTTGAGAGATGTGCTTGAAGGATGTTCTCGAAGGATGTCCTTGTGCGTCTCAGATTCGTGAAGGATGTTCTTGAAGGATACGTACACATGCACTCTCAGCAGCCCGCGCGGATGTCCTGGCGCTGCCTTTGGGCCCCCCCCCTCCCTCCCTGGGCGCACCCCGCGCATCAGGGGAGGGCCCCCCTCTCTGAGCGCTCTCCGCGCGCCGGGGGGGAGGTCGAGCAGTGGCGAAGCGTCCTGGCTTGCCCATAGGCCCACCAACTAATGTTCTCCAAGTAGGCTTGCCCTATAGGAGTTCTGACTAAAACCCTACTAATTGGTCCGTTGCCCCCCTAATTCCTATGCCCACCCCCCCTAATTCCTATGCCTATGCCTATGCCTAGGCCCATTCCTCCCCCTAACTCCTATGCCTAGGCCAATGCCTATGCCTCACCTTTGAGCGCTCCTATGCCTATGCTTGCTCGCTTGCTTGCGTTGAGTCGTCTGATCTATTTGGAGTAAACGCTGGCTGATATTCTAATATTATCTTATGGAACATTCTTGGAATCGAAGAGCATTTCGTGGTAGGCCAATCGGAATGCTGGAGCGGTCGGTCCCTGGGGGCCGGGCGGCGCGAAGATGATCGCGCGTCGCGCCTTGCGGGGCGCGCGGCGCGCGCGACGTGCTGGGCGGCCTTGGTCTTTCCCGCTTTTCTCCTCCGACCGGTCGGCGCCTTCGGCACGGGAGGTCTGCCCGCCAGCTCTTCTCGGGGAAAGACGTCAGACTCGAGTACAGTGGAGGCCCAATGCCAAGAAGCACCCTGCTTGCCTCCAGGGTGCCCTGGGCTTCTTGGGCTTCGATGGGAAAGCGTGACGTTCCCACACCAAGAATCAATGAACATCCTGGGCTCTCAGGGTTTGGTTTTTTGTGGAAGGTTTCTCGTGCACTGACCTCCACTGTACGCCGGAACTCGGGCCTGCCGGCGCGCTCGGAGGGCGCGCAAGGGGGGGCGATCAATGGAGGGGCAGCGAGGGCTGCAGAAAAGGAGCCCTTTGGGGCCTCCGAGGGGGCCTTGAGGGCCCGAGAAGGGCACCTCCCTTCCCCCCCCATGTATCCCTTGCATCGCCCCCCATGAATTCGCGCCCGACGCTGTTGGACGACCGCCTCCTGCATTTTGACGGTCCAGCGTTTTCGCGGGACGTCTGCAGTGGGAGGTCGCGTCAGACTTCAGCAGGGGGCCTCGTCAGTCGCATGCCGGCCCTGCGGGGCCAGCCCGAGTCCTTGGAACCTGAGTCTTCCGTTTCCCCGACCTTCGGCGGCGGTCGACGCGCTGCTGGCGCCTGCGTGAGGCGCGCGAGCCGCGCCGCGGCGAGCCCGCGTGCGGCGCGCGAGCCGCACCGCACGCGCCCCCGCTCGCGCGGCCAGCGTCTCTGCTTCGCCGGTCCTGGCCGGGCCCGCCTCGCCGATGATCGAGGAGGATCGCGGAGGAGGATCGAGGAGGAGGAGGAGGAGGAGGAGGAGGGTCGACGAAGAGGATCGAAGGGGAGAGTCGGTGAGAACCGAGGAGGAGGATCGAGGAGGATCGAGGAGGAGGATCGAGGAGGAGGATCGAGGAGGAGCGAGGATGGTCGAGGAGGATCGAGGAGGATCGACGTGGGGCAGGCTCACGTGGGGTCCGGCCACGCGCCAAGGGGGTGGTGGTGGTATGGGGAGGGGGGAGAGCTTCTTAGGAGCCCCCTGCCTCTGAGAAGGCGCGGGTCTTGTCTACGTGTGTGTGTGTATGTATGCGTACATATGTACTAAATCGGCAACACCCCTACATACTAATACTATGTGTGCGTCGGCCCCCCCCCAAGGGCGACGCGCGCACCGAGAAATCTTGTAGTATATGCGTCGTGGCGGGCGCTTTCTGGCCACACCGCTCGGGAAAGTATATACTACAAGCTGGGTGTACTATATATTCGGGTCGGACGCGCGCCTCCAAGGAGGACATAGTACTAGTATGTCTCTGTGCTTCCCATATGATGTTCCAACCTACTTTGGCCTTGGCCACCAGAAAGAATGTCGAGCACCCAAGAAAGTACCGAAACTCGGGGGTTTTCACGTGTCGGGCACTGTTTCGACACTCGTTCGACATGCTTTCGACACTCTTTCGACACTTTCCCTGGTGCTCGACATTATTTCTGGAATGTGGTCCTTAAGTGCGATGGGAGCAACATCACCCTTGCTTCTGAGAAGGCGCGGGTATTGTCTACATGTATGTGTGTATGTATGTGTATATCTATGTACTAAAAATGTGCGCCAGGCTGGCGCCTTTTATGGGGCAGTCTCCTCCTAGGAAGCCTGCCCCCCTCCCCCCATACGTAACCCCCCGTGCGCGCAGCCGAGTGGGGATGCATCGACCCCCAGTCGCCCATTCGTCGCCGATAGGGTCACGAGAGCCCCAACCTGCCAGGAGCGTCGTGCGGTTCCGCCATGGGCGCCCTATCGCCGATTCGTCGGCGATGTGTCGCCGATTCCAGCTCGATGTTCCCCCCCTGGAGAGCGGGTCCCCCCCCCGTTATGTGAAATCGCTCGGACGTGTGCATCTTTTCTCGGCGAGGACAATCGAGGAGCATTGTTGTTCACCTTGTGCAAACGCCCGACACCAACACATGCACGAGGAATTGACGTCCGAGCGATGGCGAGCTTACAGTGGACACCCATGCCAAGAAAAACCATGCTTGCCTCCAGGGTGCCCTGGGCTTCTTGGTTTCGATGTTTTTGTAATAGATAGCGCAACGTTCCCACATCAAACATTAATGGACGGCGTTTCCAGCGCCGCCGCGAGCCAGGGAAGGGGGCGTCCCAACGCCAGGCCCAAGAGTTGCAGTCAACCCGCATGGTAGGTTACCTGTCCTCCGTCGCCTCGTCTGCGCCTCGTCGTCGTTCCTCCCCTGTTCTCTCCGTGCTTGGCGTTTGGCTGCGGTGTGCGTATGACTGACTCTCTTTGCGTGTCACCTCTCCACCATGCTGCCCCCTTCCCTCCAGAAAACATCCCGTCCTCAGGCCTGCCCTCCCGCAAGCTCGTCCTGAAAACATCCCGTCCTGACACCTTCCCGTTCGGTCGCTTTCGCTGGCCGCGCCCCGCCCGCAAAGTGCCGATGCGGCCTTCCACGGTACCTGCATCCTTACCGCGCATCCTTGTTTTACGGGTTGACTGCAGCGGACGAAGATCTGTGTAGCGTACATCTTCCCACCATGGGGGCCGCCTGTCCCAGGGCGGTTGGAAAGCTCTGTATACTCTACGGTGGTGCGCCGGCGCGCAAATTTTTCCCGCCGTCCTGCGGCAGGCGGTCCCCGACGGCGGACGTGCCTGCTGCACAGCGTGAGAGCCGCGCGGGCCCCGAAAGCTCACACTCGCGGGGCCTGTTCCGGGGGGGCGGGGATCGGCGCCGGAGCAAGCCGCCACGGCCAGGCTGGCGTCCGCGCGCGCGAGCCCGGGCGCGACGGAGGCCTCGCTGCCGGGCGCAGCCGCCGGCGGTCGCGGGCTGCCCCTGCTCCTCGTCCTCGCTCTGTCGCTGTCCTGGCCCCCCCTGGTTTCGGCCCTGCGAGGCTCCTCTCCCCGAGCTGGCGTCCTCCTGATCCTGTTCGTCCTGCTTCTCCTCCCTGTGCTCCTCCTCGCTCGTCTCCGATATGACGGGGCCAGGACGAGGTGAAATCCGTTCTGGAGCGTTCCAGAGCGCTCTCAGAACGTTCCAGAACGCGCTGAGAAGGCCGTGGCGCCCGATACATCCTCCAGAGCTGCTGGTTCTCAGAGATGCCCGATTTATCCTCACATGATTTCATCCTTGTCCTGGCTTCGTCACATTCCGCCGACCCCCAGAAGAGGTGGGGAGTCCACGGTTGAGGCGCCTTGAGGTTCTTGGGTTCTATTTGGGTGTTTTTGATTGCGTCTTGGGAGCTGTTTGGGGGCCTCTCATGGCTTAATCGTTGGGGGTCTCTTTTTGGCAGTTGAGGGACTTCATGGGGCTTTTGGGGGGCCTCTTAGGGCGGAAAGATTGGATATCAAGTGTGTGTTCTCCCTCTTGGCTTCTTTTAGGGCCGTTCTGGGGCGATCTTGTGCCGTCTCGGGCCCCTGTTTGGGCCGTCTTGGAACCCTCTCGGACCGTCCTGGCCCTCGCAGGGGCCTCTTGAGCAGTTTTGGCCAATATACGAAGCCCGAGACGACGATAACCGCAGAAACAATGAGCAAGCTTAAGACAGGCATTGATCTTTGCCTCTCGGAGCCCTCTTGGGAAGGCTCGTGGGCTTCTTTCTCGGGCGTCTCGAAAGCGTATTGGGGTGTCTTGCAGCCATCGCAGTCGTCTTGGGCCAATCGTCCTGCGATTCGGGACCGTCTTAGCATGTCCTTGAGGCCATGGAAGGCAGATATGTAAAAGCTCAATAATCAACCTGGGGTGCGACTCCTCGTTCGTAGTCCCCTCTGTCCCTTCCCCATCCTGATCCCCTGCTTTCCCCGATCCTGATCCTCTGCCTCCTTCCTGCTACTCGTCCCTCCTCCCTCCGCCACTATCCTCACTCAGTCCCTCCTCCTGCGCCTAACCCTTCTCGTTGGTCCGTGATCCTCCTCTTCCTCTCTCCTCGTCCCATCACCCTCTATCCTTCTTCTTACGGTACTGCTGCTGGTCCGTCTCTTCCTCCCTCCCCTTCCCTGTCTCTCCCTCCCCCATCACGGGCTCTCTTCTCCTCACTGCTTATCCCTCATTATCATTTCTCCTCCTCCTCTTTCTCCTCCTCCTCCTACCCTACGTGTTCCACGTGATCGCGTGACTGGCCAGCCTGAAGTGTCGCCCCAGTCGACCGATTGCGCCGATTGCGTTTGCTAGCAATTCGCGTTATTTGTGTTGTGTTCGTGTTGTTTCCGCTTCTTTGTTTTTGTGTTTTTACGTTTGCGTTTGTGGCATTGTGATTTCGCGCCAGCAGCCCGATGCTCCAACTGAGCCGTGCTGACTTGCTAACCTTCCGCACGCCTACGCAACGGGCCTCTTTGGAGACGCGCCCACTTGCCACTTGTCCTCGTCATCCTCATCCCCCACCGTCCTCCTCCTGATCCTCTCTCTCCTTTCCTCCTCCATCCATCTCTCCTCGTCCTTTGTCCCCGTCCTCCTCCTCCTCCTCCTCCTTCTCTTGCTTTCGCTTCTCCTCACTACTCGCCCTCCCTCTCTCCGCGCCTCCCTCCGTCCTCCCTCCCCCTCCCGCTCCCTCCCCCGCGCCACCCTGCTCCATCTTCCCTGCTCCCCGCCCCCCTCCCCCCGCGTCTCGTCTCCCCACCGCCCCTTGCCCCCCCCCCCCGCTCCCTCCCGCTCCCTCCCCGCGCCTCCCCTCCCTGCCCTCCCCTCCCTGCCCCCCTCTCCCAGCCCCCCGCCCCTCGCCCCCCCACGCCCCCCCGGCCCCCCCATCCCGCTCCCCCCGCCCTCCCATCGCTCCCCCTCCGCCCTCCCGGCCCCACCCGGAGAGAGAGAGAGAGAGAGAGACGACTGAGCCCCGGCTGCTCTCCTCCTCGTCTCCTTTTCGGCGGCCGCCGCGGGTGGCCTCCGCCGCGGCCCGAGCTCTCTCTCAGGTAGGAAAAAAGCACACAGACACAATGAATCCTCGATTCCCCAGGAAAAAAATTGGGAAACATGGGCAGTTGGGGGGGGGAGACGAAGAACCCAGGAAACATATGGGGAAACATGGGGAAGGCTGTTATATTTGTGTCTCTATTAATTTGTGTCTCCCAGGTCCCCTTCGTCCTCCCCCGCCGCCCTCCGACGCCGAGAAGGCCCCCCCGGCCGGGAGCCGGAGAAAAAAAAGGGCGGTGCGCCGCGGGGTCGGCACGAACGAAATGGACACGGAAAGAATGGGTACGATGCCCAGCAGCAGTTCTTGTTCATTTTGAACCGGACTCGCTGTCCGCGCCGCCGCGGCCTGTGTCCATTTGAGACAGAAGGCCGCCTGCCCAACAGTGGCCGCTGTCGGTTTGGGACAATATTTGTTGTTGGGCATTGTATCCATTTTTTCCGTACCCATTTCGGGCGTCCAAACGGGGGGGCGCCTTTGCCAGAGGCGACGACATCGGGGCGACGATAGCCCCGGGGGGAGCAATACAGTCAACCCGCACAGGAAGGATGCGCAACCTTCCCAAGGGTACCCTTACATCCTTGCCCCTTCGGCCAGTCCTTGGCGACTCTCGCTGGCCAGCCTCGTCCGAAAAGCGCCAGCGTGGCCCTCCAAGGCCCTTGCATCCTTACCGCGCATGCTTACTACACGG